TTCACCCTTTGCAGTAGAAAGATAGGTAGAGATGATGCAGGAATGTTATTGTATTTTACTATTTCTTTATGGGGTGGAAGAAATTGCTGGATCTTTGCTTCGATGTGAAGTCGTTGTGGAGTGTGACTGTGTGAGCTGTGAAAAGGAAAGCAAGTTGTGAAATGGAGGTGGCTGTGAACTGCGTTTACACACTGATTTCAATTGTGTCAGGCGTTGATAGTCGAGCCGTTGCTGTTTCTCTCTTGCTGCTTTTACTTTTTTGGTTTCCTTTTATGAATATGCAACTAATACGGTCGGTAATCGAATCAAAATATCCGAAGTCTCGTGCTGATTAAATTGTATATTCTAATATATTCATCGGTTTATTATGCAAACCCAAATTCAGATAGGGAATTAATCGTACAAACTAGTATTTGATTTTGTGTATTTGTACGTATATAAAACACGTTTTTATCTGTATTTAATAATTAGACATGTACTTCTATCATATAAAAATTATTACTTTTTCTTAAGTTATTTTTATCATTCAAAATTAATTGAGATTTAAATTTTATTTTAACCATGCAACGTTTACATTACTAACATGAATAAAATAATTATATATTTGTGGCATATATTAAGAAAATTAACATAAATAAAAAAATTATTGGTGTTTCTGATTTTTTAAAAAAAAAATATGTCAATCATATTTTTCTTCCAACAATGCAACCAAACATAGCGGGTACAACTCTGAATGTGTCAATCAACTTTAAGTTCTAACATTAGCCGTTACACATTTGAATATTTTGCTACTAAATTTAGAATTAATTTAGTAACTGATCTAAAAAATAAATAATAAAAATCTATGTATTAAGGTGTAATGGTTTTAGCAGATTAGTGAGTAATTAATTAAAAAAATGTAACTCCTTTTGGAGGGAAATGAAAATAGGTTTTATTAAATGTTTTATTGAATGTATCAGCTAGTAATTATATATACTAGTATTAGACCCTGTGCATTTGCACAGTGTAAATAGAATATTATAAGTTATATTTATGCATATAGTATTAAAATTATAAGTTATACAACGATATTATATTTTAAACATAGAGTATTATAAGTTATATTTATGCATATAATAATAAAAATATAAATTAGATAATGATATTATGTTTTAAAATTTGATCATTGGTTAAAATAAATAGTACATAACTATTTGATTGCATATGAACCACTATATTAATTACATAAAATATAATAAATAATGTAATTTTGAGAGATCACCAATTTATAGCTTAAAAATATTAAATTTATTATAACATTTGATTATGCGATTTTAAGAAATTTCACTATAACATTAAAAGAAATTAACTTATTTAAAAATACAACTGCTAAATAATATAAAAAGTTATAATATTAATTTTAGAATAAATAACTTTAGCAAAAATTTTCCAATATTTTTTTATGTTTATGTAATTTTCATATATCATTTAGTGTAAACTATAGTTATTAGTTTTAATAACAGCTATTATATGATATAATAAAATAGTATAATTATTACTCCATTAATATAAAATGTAACAGTTTTTGTCTTAATTAACCATAAAAAAAGTGCAATGAAATATTTTAGCATTAATTAGATATAATGGATTAATAATAATAATAGAAGATTGTAACATAAAAAGATGGTAAACAATAATTAATATTGTTAAACTTATTGTTGGTAATTAAATATAGAGAGAGATATAAATGATAAAGTTTGTAATGGTTTTTGGAGGGAAATCGAAATGATTTTTATTAAATGTTTTATTAAATGCTATCAGCCAGCAATTATATCTATATATATATATATATAGGATTTGGTTCAAATGAGAACTAAGTCCTAGCGTGAGAACCGTGAGAACCGCTATTTTTAATTGTATGTAGTGCTATGATTGATTGCATTTTAGTGCTATTTTTAATCATGATGTATTTTATTAAAAATAGCAACACAATTTATGTTAGTATTTGTAAAAATGATAGCACCATGTGAGATTAAAAATAGCATCGTACACAATTAAAAATAGCATCAAATATAGTTCTCACGGTTCTCACACCAGGACTAGTTTTTATTTGAACCAATATATATATATATATATAGGATTTGGTTCAAATGAGAACCAAGTCCTAGCGTGAGAACCGTGAGAACCGCTACTTATAGTTGTACGTAGTGCTATGATTGATTGTGTTTTAGTGCTACTTTTAAAATGGATCTATTTTCTTAAAAATAGCAACACAATTTACATTAGCATATGTGAAAATGATAGCACCATGTGATATTAAAAATAGCATCATACACAATAAAAAATAGCATCAAATACAGTTCTCACGGTTCTCACACTAGGACTAGTTTTTATTTGAACCACTCCATATATATATATATAGATTTGAAATTGTTTATGTCCAAATAATGTAATAAAAACTTTATTAAAATTGTTTGATTTTGAATTAACATAAAGAAAAGCCACCATGGAAATACGAGAATTATAGTTGAAAATAAGACTATTAAAACATAAGTGGAGGAATAAAGTACGCAAACCGTATGTCCGAAGCAAATAAACTTAAAAATCTCTTCAAATATCGTCTCACTATCCTTCAGAGTTCTTTTATTAGTAAATTAGTTTGCACGCACAAAGTACAACTTGCACTTACACGACTTAGACTCCCTCCTAGTCTGGCCAATACTGTATCCGACTTTATTAAATACGTCTCCGGCCATAACACGTGAAATTCAAAATAGTTGTGGATTCCCCCTAGCCATTGTTTTAAATAGCTCGCTATGTAACTTTTTTTTTTTTTCAAAAAATGCGACGTAGCTTCATATATTTAGCATTTTTCCCGAAAAGCTTTCGCGAAATGCTGAAATGGCACGTTTTTTACGCTATTTTGCGTTATTTCACGCTATTGTGCACGACATTGTGCTATATTTGTGTAATAACATTTAAATAATAAAATATTTCAAAACTCATATTTTTTGGAATTAGAGTCATAATTTCAAATGGCAACTAAAAACTAAATTTATGATAATGATTTTAAATTAAAAGTTTGAAAATCCAAAATCTTAAGTTGAATAGTGCAATATTTATCGGTCAATCTATTATATCATTTCAATTTTCGATATCTAACATTTTATTAAAGAAACAAAAGTTCATATATAGTGGTTAGAATTAAGTTGTAGTTAAATAAAAATAATAATTAAAATGCATATACTTAAAATTAAACTATGACTTACCTCATTATATTTCCGTTGTCTGTTTTACTTTTTAGTATGTTCGTTTTATTATTTAAATATTTATATTATAATACTTGCATTAAATATTTGTGATAAATAATTCTTAGATGTTATTTTTGAATTCATTCAAATATTATGATGATCTTTAGAATCAACCATCCAGTTTTATTATATGCAAATATATTTACAATATTTTTACAAGAATAATTTTTTACACCCAAATAGCTTACGCAACACGCAACGCTATTTACGCTACGCAGTATAAAGACCAAAACGCGACGCATTACGTTATACGCGTTTTAAAACACTGCTCCTAGCTAAACAAGTACTTAATTCATAAGCACTCAAAGTGTTTGTAAAAGAAATAACAAACTCATTTTTTCAGTGACGCAAGAACACTGAATCACTGAATATAATAAAAACAAAAACAAACGCTCACAAATCTATCATTATATAAAAAGAATAACTTTTTTACAAATTTAGAAATATTTTCCCGCCAAAATCATTAAATATATCCTATATATAGTAATTGTTGGACAAATCTGAATAGGCAAATAAATTGGCTCATTAATTGTGTAAAGATTCGTTTCTCTTTTTCCTATTCTTTAGTTTATCAATACTGTTGTTTGACAATAAATATTTGTTTTTCTTTTTTCTATTTTTAGCACGAGCTTATTTCTTTTGTTGTTACAAAATCCCATTGCATACGAGTTTCACGTGTTTAAAAAATCTCATCCCTTATCTATACAGATTTGAAAAAATAAAATAAAATAGAAATCAATTCATAATTACTATTAGAAATCCATTATCTTTAAAAAAAAAAATAGAAACCAATTCATAATTACTACTAGAAATCCATTAACTACTTTAAGAAGCTAATTTTCATCGGTCTAATTACTAATATTTTTACAAATATGTCTTTTTCCTATCTTCCATTTTCGAGATCCGTACATACAAAGATCATCGTAGCCTTCTAAGAAGTCAAATCCCCAACAAACCGTCCGGAAAAAGCCATTCCCGGGGAGACAGTTGCAAATGATAAGCCAAAGTCCGAAAACACTAAACACAAAAAAGTATAATAATAATTTTGAAATGGTGTGTAATCAAATTTTTTTATATTCTCTTATATATAATAATTTTACATTGTTTGACCCGGAATCTTTAATTTATAATTATTAAGTATTGTTTATCCTCCTCTTTAATTTATAATTATTATTTTTTCTTCCTCTTTTTAAATACGATCAATAGTAGTTTCCACTTCCGCCAAACTCGAGGTCTATTTATAATATTGTTAATTTAATATTGTTCCCGTGCATCGCACGGGGTACACACTAGTACTCAATAATGTCTAAGAATATGATGATCTCGGTAATTGCAACAACCTTCAATTGAGTCTTCGTTTAGAACTATATACACCCTCCTAAAGGTAAGGAGTCTTCCCAAGTTCCTCCTTTCATTTGGAGTTGATTTCCTTCCTTGCGAAGTTCTATACGACTTGTACATAAACTTCAATATGGAAATACAAAAATCCATTGATCACGATCAACTTCTTATTTTCAATAATGCACGGTCATTCTTACAAAATAAACATATATTATAGAGAGAGATAAATCAAATATATGCAATCTAATAGATACTAATAATAGTTACCAAACAAAATAATATAGTATCGATACATAAATAAATAGAAGAGGGCGAATGGATCTTACCTTTGAATTCTTTTGCTTGCCACAAAATCATCAAGAT